AATGCAGGAGATGCCCTCTGGTTGTTAGTGCGCTCCCACAGTGGGAGCTCTGCTCAGCCACATGCCAGGCTGACGGCTGCCTCTCCTGCCTCCTCAGCAATGCTAAGGGTGTCCAACTGTAGCTTAGGCCTTCTCCCTGCTGGCAAGTGGACATCCTCCAAGGGCTTCTGGGCTGCCAGAGGGGTGTCTGATAGCCAGCTTAGGCCCAATCCCCCGGGAAGCAGGCCTAAGCCAGCAGGTGGTCATCCCCCGAGGGGTTCCAGACTGTGAGAGGGCACAGGCCGGGCTGAGGGACCCCCCTGAGTGCACAAATTTTTGTGCACCAGGCCTCTACTATCTACATAAAACGAGTAGAAAATGATTGATTATAACAAGGAAGAGAAGGAGGAGGAAAAGGAGGAGCATAAAATGAGGAGGGCAATGATGACTACTGACTGTGACAGGGGCCCTGGAAAAATGAAATTAAGGCTCCTTGTACAAACACACAATCACTATGGCTCTTCCAGTAAGGGGTATCCACTCTTCCCAGTAAATGTTGAGAGATTTCATAAATGGGACCCAATGAATTATGCAGCTTCAGTAATCTATGTTGAGAACAGATCAGTAATGATCCCAAAGGTGTCCAAGTGCAGATCCCCTGGACCTGGGAATGTGTTACCTTCTAGAACAGAGACACTGTGAGAATGTGCATGTAGGAAACAGGGATCCCGTTCCTACCAGTTTGCAATGACAGAATCCTTATTTTTCTTCATCCCTGCCTGCATGATCTTTAACGTTTCTATTTCTCACACACTCCTGTTCATTAATATTTAGGTATTTCCTCACCCATATCCACACCCATCAAAGAAAATACTGATGAATTGAACTGTAATAAAATGAAAAACATTTGTTCTTCCAAATATTCCATCAATGAAATTAAATCATTCGCTTAGCAAGAGAATATATTTTTGAATCATGTGTCTGGTGCAGAATGTGTGCATTGCACATTAAGGATGTGGTATGTTAGGGAGAGAGCCCCCCACCTTCTGACCACTGTGACCATCCCAGGGATAGGGCAGAGGGAGGCTGGGATGAGGGTTTCCTGAATGGGCAGTGGAAGCTCAGCATCTTCTGGGGAGCTCTTTGTAAAATCACCCATATCCACACCCATCAAAGAAAATACTGATGAATTGAACTGTAATAAAATGAAAAACATTTGTTCTTCCAAATATTCCATCAATGAAATTAAATCATTCGCTTAGCAAGAGAATATATTTTTGAATCATGTGTCTGGTGCAGAATGTGTGCATTGCACATTAAGGATGTGGTATGTTAGGGAGAGAGCCCCCCACCTTCTGACCACTGTGACCATCCCAGGGATAGGGCAGAGGGAGGCTGGGATGAGGGTTTCCTGACAAGTTCGAAGTTCCCTTTCCTATGAGAAAATGTGTGCTAGGAATCCTCCAATTTCCCTTACTGTGATCCCCAACATCACTGACAACACTAAACTGAGAAATCAGGTCACTTAACAGGCCAAATACATTGTTCATGATATGAAAGATTCTCAGTGGTACACATGCATAATCACTCCCGTTATCTCTTATCTTTTATCCAGGTTAAAACATGGTTATTTCAGATGTGGTTATTTCAGGGTGTCTGCAATATGTCATGGGTTTACATAAGGGAAGAGTTTTCACAGTGTGTCATAACACATTAAAAGTTCCAACATCAAGAATCAAGGGTCTCCCTTTTTCTTGTGGTTGGGAAGCAGGTATTCATATGAAAGTAGAAATGAAGACAATGTGACAGAAAAAATGGCTGTGTTTTCTTTTTAAAATATTTTACACCAAGTGAACATAATTATCATATAAAATGACAATGATAAACATTTCTTACTTGTAGGTATATGCAATTGTTGGATTCAGAAGATAAACAAATGCAAAACCCTATTAAATTTGTTTGAAAGATGAATGAGAATTTACCAATGAAACCTACTTATCTAGTTCTACATTTTTTCTTCTGTTCAGGTGAGGTTGTCCTTGACCTAATTCCAATGTGCTTCATGACCCAGATAGTTCCCTGTCCCTGACTTAAATGGTGAGTGAGGTCAAGGAAAGAGATGCCCCAACATGGACCCCAAAATGATTAGGAAATTCCTACCTCAGTCCCTCTACTTAGAAGGAAAAGGCTGCCCCACATGCAAATGTCTGTTCAAGCTCCAGGATGAATCCTCTCCTGGGCTGTGAAGGCTCACAGCTCTCCCCTCACACAGGGCCAAGCTCTCTGGAAAGGCAGAGCTGTGGTCTAGAAGATGATGAGCCTGCTGGGTCTTCTCCTGTGTCTGGTGACAGCCCCGGAGGTGATCTCCCTAGGGGTCAGACTGGGGTCATGGGATGGCTGTGACTGCAGCTGACTGATAGGGACTGATGATCCTTGACCACGGTTGTTCTGCCCCAGGTGCAGCTGCAGGAGATGGGCCCAGGACTGGTGAAGCCCTCACAGACCCTCTCCCTTACCTGCACTGTCTCTGGATTCTCTCTAATGAGCTATGATGTGAATGGGATCCTCCAGGCTCCGAGAAAGGTGCTGGAGTGGGTTGGGGTTATATGAGGTTATGGGGGTACAAACTATAACCCCACACAGAAATCCAGACACAGCACCACCAGGGAAAAGTCCAAGAACCAGGTTTATTTACCATTGAACAGCCTGAGAGCCAAGGACACAGCCATGTATTACTGTGTGAGACAAAGTGAGGGGAAGTCAGTGTGAGCCCAGACAAATCCTCCCTGAGGGAGACAGCAGGGCTGGTCCATAGGGGGTGCTCAGGACATCAGGGGGCGCTCCTGACTCCTGAAGCCCAGAGGACAGCCTCAGGAGCAAGGGCAGAGGGAGGTGGGGAAGGAAGGGGCTTCCTGGCAAAAAATCCTGTACCAGTCAATAATTGCTTTAAATGTAAATGGCTTAAATGCTACAATCAAAAGACTTAGGGTACCTGATTGGATAAGAAAGCGAGACTCACATCTATGCTGTCCACAACGGGCATACTCCAGAATGAAAGATACACACCGAGAAAAGTAAAGGCTGAAAAAAAATTTTCATGCATATGGCAATGAAAAAAAAAAAAGAAAAACAACAAAAAACAAACAAACCTGGGGCAGCAATACTTATATCTGACAAAACAGACTTTGAAACAAAGACTATAGTAAGAGACAAAGAAAGAGACTACATAATAATGAAAAGAGCAATCCAACAAGAGGGTATAATGCTGGTAAACATTTATAAACCCAACAAAGGAGGACCTAAATATGTAAAGAAAATCTTGAGTCTGGCCTGTATGGCTCAGTGGTTGAGTCCTGACCTGTGAACCAGGAGGGTAAACTTTTCTTTTTTTTAAAATATATTTTATTGATTTTTTACAGAGAGGAAGGGAGAGAGATAGAGAGTCAGAAACATTGATGAGCGAGAAACATCGATCAGCCGCCTCCTGCACATCCCCTACTGGGGATGTGCCCACAACCCAGGAACATGCCCTTGACTGGAATCGAACCTGGGACCTTTCAGTCCGCAGGCCGACGCTCTATCCACTTAGCCAAACCGGTTTCGGCTAACTTTTCTTTGTTATATTTACTGGTGACTTGTCAAAGGCATCTTTCATTTTAAAATTTCTCTTTTTTTAACGAAAAATTTTATTCCTGGGTCTTTCTACAGGTCTCCTGCAGCAGATAAGTCCAGTGGGGAGTGCACAGGTCAAGATCTGGGGAGTAATTCTTAATAAAAAGCACCCTCAGACATGTCACACTATAAGACCATGTCAGTGTCTAACTCTAGAGCTCCCTATATAGTAGGAGGACATGCAAATAGGGTCCTCTCTGCTCATAAAAAGCAGCCCACCCCTGACCCTGCAGCTCTGGGACAGGAGCCCAGCCCCAGGATCCCCAGGTGTTCCCATTCCCTGATCAGGACTGAACACAGACCACTCACCATGGGTTTTGGCCTCAGATGGGTTTTCCTTGTGGCTATTTTGAGAGGTAATTTATGGAGAACAAGACACACTGAGTATGTGAGTGACATGAGTGAGAGAAGCAGTGTATGGGCCAGCATTTCATGACCAGAAAGTCTTTGTGTTTGCAGGTGTCCAGTGTGAGGTGCAGCTGGTGGAGTCTGGAGGAGGCTTGGGGAAGCCTGAGGGATCTCTGAGACTCTCCTGTGCGGCCTCTGGATACTCCTCCAGTAGCTACTACATGAACTGGGTCCGCCAGACTCCAGGAAAGAGGCTAGAGTGGATTTGTGCTATTACTGGTAATGGTGACAGCACATACTACGCAGACTCCGTGAAGGGCCGTTTCACCATCTCCAGAGACAACGCAAAGAACACGGTATATCTGCAAATGAACAGCTTAAAATCCGAGGACACAGCTGTGTATTACTGTGCAACAGACACAGTGAGGGGAAGTCAGTGTGAGCCCAGACACAAACCTCCCTGAAGCAGAGGCTGTGATCACCAGGGGGCGCTCAGGGCCCCTGAACGAAGGACCATCCCAGCAGCAGGTGCAGTTGGAGGTCGGGGCTGAGTTCCTGTGTTGTTTCCTCTTCATGTCACAGTTTCCCTCAGGGAACATCTGGATTCCTGATTCTTCGCTGACGTCCAAATGACTATGGATAATCAAATCTGCTGACCCAGGTCCCCTAAATCTAACCAGAGGCTCTGCTAACTCAACAGTGCAGCTCAACAGACCCCAGGGTCCCAGCCCGCCAGCAGCAGGACATGTGGATGCTGGACAGTGACCCCTGCAGGCACATGAACACAAAGCTAGAGAAGAAAAACTCTGGTCATTAACTTGTCACTCTCAAAGCACCAATCACAGGAGACACCAAGAGGAGGAGGTAGAGGGACCCACCGTGCCTTGGAATAGATGTCCAGGCTGATGATGTCCCACAGGCAGAGGCACCTCGAAAAGGTTTATATTTTCATGGAGGTTCTGTTGGGAGCAGGGCAGGCTTTCAAGCCACTCAGACACGGTTTCCCGGCTGACATGGCTCAGTAGTTGGGCATCGACCTATTGACCAGGAGGTTAGGGTTTGATTATTGGTCAGGGCACATTCTCGGTTTATAGTCTTGATCCCTGTGTGGGGTGTGCAGGAAGCACAAGATCAAAGATTCTCTTTCATCATTGATGGTTCTCTCTCTCTCTCTCTCTCTCTCTCTCTCTCTCTCTCTCTCTCTCCTCTCTCTCTTTCTCTCTCTCTCTTTAT